GGCAAATTAAAGTTGATTAGAGCGACACCAGTTAGGATCTTATGGTTCCCTCGTTCCGACACCACTAATTTCTATCAGATTCACTTAATCCAAATGAATTTACTAAACTCAACTCAATGAGTTTCATACTTTTATTTAGACCGTGGGAACTCTCGTTAGCAACTGTAGGTTGCCTCCTTTGAGAGATTCTCGATCATCCAATAGAGACATCTTAATTTAGTTGCAATTGTTGTTTGGTAATGTTTGTGATTAAATTTTGAGTTGTCTTATATTTTGAATGTTGTGGCGGTGAATTTTATCTTGGTTGATTTTAGTTTTGATTTTGGATTTACAACTATCCTAACAGTTTTAGTTTTCATGCAAGGTGACATCGTTGTTTTACATGCAAGTTTTGTAAGTATAAAAATACAGTGTGGAAAGTACAAGAAAAAATGATATTGTAAACTGTGAAAGCTTACCTGGCGAGTCTTCTCGTTCCACCAACTGAAAGGCCAGTACTTGCAAGGCATGTGTATAATATTGCAAGGAACTTAAATTGTAAGAGTAGATGCAGGTTTAGCTACCAAACCCCGGGCTATGATTCTATTGAATCTAAGAAGATCCTGGTAGATGAGTTTAGAACAACATATGGCAAGTCCGATTTAACCTTCAGAATGTTCAATAGATTTCAAAATGCTCAAGGCATGACCTTAGATCACTTTGACGATCTCTGGAAATATTTCGAGTTCACTTTAAACTTATCATATTGTTTCATTAACCATCCGAGTTTAGAGTGTGGCTACCTCGTTGCTCTGTGAAATTTGACAATTTAATTATCCCAAGGATAGGATACTCAATTAGTGAATTGATGTTTCATTTAAAAGTTATGTGAGTGGGTTCCCCGAAGGTAAGTTTAGGTTATTTAAGATTGTGGTGCCCACAATTAAGGTCAGGCTTGTAGTTTTTAATGATGTTATGTTGTCTTCTAATCCAATCAATTGAGTTTAGATATTGAGCCTATGTCACTACTAAGCCTTTAACAATCATGATAGGTGAAAAGTTGATTATCAAAATTTTAATTTAAATGATGTGTATTCTTATCTAATGGACAAACCATCCTCAACTTTGGGCTTAAGAAAAGTGAATTTACTTTTTTCTAACTTAAGCCCATCACTTAAGAATCGTCTGATCATAGTTGACTTCCAAGTCATCTTCCAAGTCATGAAGATTAATAGTTGACTTCCAAGTCATGAAGATTAGGAGATGTTGTGCAAGGGTATTGAGTGAAAAGGTATTGAGTGAGTTTCTACCTTTCAATCCCATTGTGTTTCAATCATCTAAACATATTTATTAAGATCAAAATTACCCATTTTACCCAATTGATTAGTCAACCGTGATTTTCTACCTTTCAATCCCATTGGTGCAAATGGTTGGGTTTGAGTTAGGCAGCCATGATTTTGAGCCCAATTGATTTATCGACATTATGTAGATTATTTTAATGAAGATTTTTTATGAAGGATTGAAGTGATGTCAAGGTCAATTGAAAGCTCAATTTGAAGGATTTTGGGATTTTGATTAATTTGGGCATGTTGGACTAGACTTGGGTCTAGGTTGGGCTAAGTCCAAATTGATGGTTTAAAATGGACTATAGGAATGTAATGAAGAGGCACTCAATTTGATGGAATTTGGAGACAGCCAATTTGAGGCAAATTTGGGGATTTTTAGACTTGGGTTAAAATTAAGTGAAATTGAGGCTTGACCAAGGCCAATTAAAAGTTCAATTTGGTGTAGAAGTGTTATGAAGAGTGGGACTCAAATTGGGGCAAAGGCTATGGGGTTCAATTAGGTGAGATTAAGTCATATGATCAAAATTGGGATTTTGATTTAGATCACAATTGAGCTCAAAGTATGGGCCAATTAGACTTGGATTTGTTTGGATTGATATGTTTGAGTTTAGAATTGAAATTGAGGGGAATTGAGGCCAAATTGATCAACCAAAAAGAAAATCAGCTTTATACTATTAGCATTAACCTTTTGGCCCAACAAGTTTATTTTTCGAATGAACAAAACAAAACCTTGAATTTTAAAATAATTGGTGCAACTATAAAAATTCTACATCCACAATAACATAATAACTCTAAAGAAAATACAAAAGAAAGAATATATTCCAACAGTCCAATCAAAATAGAAAGCCACAGTCCCATCATGAGCAAACCACCCAAATTCCAACAAAAATCAACAATTACATGTCATTTTTGTTTCATATTATACATGAAGGTTCTCTATACGAATAATCAAAACAAGCCAACACCAAAGCCAACACCCGACCAAATGTAACAATCGAGAAAATATGATATTACTCACAGAAAAAGTGAGAAAGCCAAAAAGTCACAAAAAAAAATCATTCTTTCGAAATTCTCCATAACATGCATGATATTAGTCACATAAAAGTCATTCCATCGAAAATTACCACAATAAAAGCAACAATATTACTTACAGAGCACCACAACCACAGATCACAGAGAGAAAGATGAGAAGAGGCAACAATCAAGAGAGACGTGTGAAAGAGACAACTGGAGAGCGATCAAAGCCACGAGATGAGAGCAGACTAGATAATCAAAGAGGCACACCTGGGTCACACGGGATGAGGGCAAGCATGACAAGGGAAGAGAGACAAGAAAATAACTCCTGACGTGGCTCGTGGAGTCAAACTTGCGACCGACGTTTGTTAAAAAGACATACTCGTCTATCGTGAAACACACCGAAAACAGAGAAACCAAACGGTAAGACTTTATTCTAAAAATGCAAACTCAGTCGATAAGCTGCACTAAACGCAGCCTTCATCATTTAAGGATCAAATAATAACTGTAATTTAATTTTTTATCAATTTCTCTCCTACTCAACTCTTGTGATCATCCTTGCACAATTGAATTTGTATTTTGCATTTACTCTTGGGAGAGGGAGGGAGGGAGACGGAGATTATAAATTTGTAATATTCTCGATTCTAGCACTTTTTTTCATGCAACACATGTAAAAAATATTGCAAAATACTTATATTTAGTAGCTAGAACAAGTTCACCATGAAAAACTAAACTGATCAAATACTGAATCGTTGTCTCCCACTTAAAAAATTTCTTCCTATCGCTTGTTGAACTGAGTAACTCCAATTGGAATCTCCAACCTACTTTCTTTACTCACACCAGTGATAGGGTCTTATTGTACTTGCATATTGTGATCAACATTAACAAGATGAATCTTACTACAGGGTTTCTTATCAAGTGATTTGTAACACTATTTCAAAGGCTAATATCATCTAGAATGTTACATAGCTTGTCGAATCAAGCTTGTGGACTCTTCTTAAGTCCCTATATAGCTTTCTTAAGAAGACAAACGGTTATCCCTTTGAGTAATATACCAAGAAATTAACTGCATTACCCAAAAAAAAGGAGATGGGTTGTCTAAACAGTGGAGTGCATGAGTAAAGAAACCATAAAAAAAAATAGTAATAATAAAAAATAATAATAAGATAGCTTAATCAAGATAGAAAGTGGAGATGGGTAAGGCGTAATCTAATAAAAGAAAACTACAAATCCATTTAAAAAAAAACACAACTCAAAAAAAAGATAAAAGAAAAAGAAAAACAAGGTACGTAGATACAAAGGTTTAAGCATTCTAAATCAAAGGATAATATTCCTTCTGAGAAGTCATTATAGATTTGGAACCATCAACATTATTCAAAATTCTCAAGGCATAATCAAAAGAAGGATAATTAAATTTTTGGCCAAAATGAGAACATGTCGAAAAGGACTATCCCACCAAATCTAGTATTTGATCCAACCTCCATGATATTGACCACCAGGAGACCCTTTAGTAAGAAATTGCATTATAGTGCTATTCTTTTGAGAGTTCAATAATCCAATGCAGATAACAACAATAAAATCACCATACAAAAAAGGCCCAAAGAAAGACCCAACTTCTGGATCATACAATAGATGAATCAAATGAGCCTGAATCCTATAGTCCATACTCATTGATAATTCTACATTTTACATATTTACATGGATATATAATAAAACAGCTGACCACCCAGAAGTGAATAGATAACCTAAGGCAGCTTCTGCCTAGAGCTGTTGACAGCTCCCAAGTGCATGGAGATGTTGCAAGAATTCCCAACAAAAACAGTCAGGTGTCGATGTGTTTTTGAGCTTACCATCTGTTAAAGAGTCGACATGTTTTGGAATAAAATTATACAGCTACAGCTGGCCCAGGCGCTCCTGGAGAAATACATAACAGAATTTTAACATGCATGGCCGTTGAAAATGCATGGCAGTGAGAGAAAATTTAAAATAAATAAACAATGAAGATTTACATACATACCACTCAATTCCTATGTATTTACATATCTATGTCCCAGACTTCAGTTTCTTGCATACATGCCGACTAATCTATGTTTGAAAAGGTGTATTTCACTTTTTAAAAGTTAAACAATGATATAAAAGATTTGGGTGTTATAAAGGTAAAAATTAAAGTTTAGATGTTAGATATATAAATACATACGAATTGGGTGGATGTATTTAAATGCCCCTAAAAAAACATAATAGCAAATTATAAATGCCACATCCATCATGTGAAAAAACTGAGCACCATTTTCATCAAGAAGCTCATTGAGATTATAAGATATATAAAGTGTGCTAGAACATGTAGTTAGTCAACAATTTATAATGTTTTCCCTAAAATGAAGACTTACACAAATCAAATGCATCAAAAAGTGATCGTTCAGATTCAATGTAAGCACAAATAGAAAAATTATTTGCATGTTTCTCGAATCTAGGAAGCAGGTACGAAAATGGGATGAATTTGGTGGGATGAAAATTCGCACAAGAGGTTAAATTTATTTGATAGCCAACTCAAATTGGGTGAAGCCTGACTCGGGCAAGGTTTTGTGAATCAGAAGCATAGAAAATCAATAGCTAGGACACACTATAACAATTAGTGTGTCAATCAGAAAGAGATGAACAATATTATTGTTTAAGGAGAGATGCAAAGGAGAGGCATCCTGACAAGTAGAAGCCTTTAGAATTTTCTTTCTATGTTTTACCTTCTCCATCCTACAACCTTAGTCAGTTCAGCATTAAGGCACCCTATATGCAAACAAGTCAATTTCGGGGAAAACATTTAATGAGACTATAAAAGTGGGAACTGCCCTTAAAATGAATGAAGAGCATATACGGTACAAGACAATAAGAAGCTGAGCTTAAAATTAAAAAAAAAAATCCTTAAAAGACCACTTCTACACTCGTTTTACAAAAACCTAATTGTCTAGCAAAATAAAGTTAGTTAAGAAAATAAGAAAAAAAAAAAAACTTAAAAAGCAGGAGAAACGAAGCTTGAAAGGAACTAAGTTACACTAAATGGCAAGTCTTAATGCATATAACAAACCTGAAGCATCTGCATTAATTTTGGATGCTGCTCCAGCAGTTGGCATAGTTTATCTCGATCACTCAACAAAGACTGCCAGCAGTAAGAGAAAAAAATACATATCACTAAGTTCCCCAGAAGCCATTCAGGTAGGAACTATAATTCCCTGCCACTGAAAGATAAATGCTTTAAAATCTACTTTGAGTTCACACCCAATCCCACAATTAAATATCATTTGATATTTAATTGTTTCTTACACCCAACTTCGGGCTCACAACAGGAACAACCTTGAGCCCAAAATTTATTGGATGTTGAGACTTACATGCATATTAAGCTCCAACTCTCTTGGGTGTGAACTCAAAGTAGATTTTAAAGCATTTATCTTTCAGTGGCAGGGAATTATAGTTCCTACCTGAATGGCTTCTGGGGAAGAAAAGTATTGCTGTAGTGTCATCCCTGAATCCTTTTGCTGCTGAGCTATATTGTCGGCCTCTTGAATGGAATTTCTTATTTGAGCTGCAAGGGGAAGTTGTACAGGATGGGACATTTGATCTTGATGCGCCGATGGATAATAAACATGTAATTGAGGGAGCTGCTGCTGAATATGGAGGGGTTGCATTTGAACTTGAATACTGCCCTGAGGCAATGACAACATTTGCTCAAACTGTGGCTGTGGAGCTTGAATAGGCAGCCCAACATTCTGAGAAGGATGAGGCGCACGTGGCTGAGGAGGCGGCGGCGGCGGCGGCGGTTGCACTGGAATAGACTGAATAGAAATTTGAGAATTGGGGGCAGCAGGCTGGGAGATGCTAGTAGGATTCTGACCATGCTGCTGAGGAGGTGAGCCAAAAAATGTTCCAGTAACAGCTGGTTTATTGAGCAGCATTGTTGGTGCAAATGTAGGTAGCGAAAAAGGAAGACCAGCTCCTGAAGCAGAAAAGATTCCTAAATCAGCAAGAGGAGCTGAAAGTTGAGGGATATGACCTGCATTTGTGGATTGCAAATATAATGAAGATTGGGAACTAAAATTTGACGATGATTGAGCAAGTGGTGTGGAGAATGGAGGTGGCGTAGGAGGAAGTGGCGGTGTAGGTCGTGCAGAAGCATTGCTGCTGCTAGGAGAATCCACATTCCACAAAAGTTTGTTTTCAGGAAGAGGCTGAGCAGTTAGTGATACTAAAGAGCTCATTGAAGATGCATTCTCTGACTGAACCTGCGTAAATTGAAAGGAGTTCAGCCGCAAAAGATAAGATAAAAGAAAGAAATGGAATACATAACAAAAAAAGGATCTATTACTCTTACAAGAAGATTTGTTGAACCATTAACATTAAAATGCTGCACTGGATATCCTGAAATAAAGGGTGGCTGCATTTCTCTCACGTTAGGAAGATAAGAGGATGGAAGGCCTTGCACATGTTCAATAACTGGTGTTGGCATGGCAGAGACAGTTGGATGAGGCATGGGGGGGAGGGGTGGTTGATTGATAGAGAGCTTTTGCTCATAAAATCCAAAAGATCCAGAAGGCAAAGAACCCAAAGTAGTTTTTAGTGTGTTATCCCGCTGAAGAAAAGAAGGTACGGGCATTGGTTGAACAGTTGTTGCAGAGTTGAAATTCAACAAACTTGGAGGGCCAGAAGCGGTGTTCGCAGTGGGGGCATCATCAAAACCCCTAGAGCCCACAGGATGCGACACATTCTTTGATTCATTAGAATTCTGTGGAAAGGACATTTTGTCCGCAGTAGTCATTGCAGCAGTTCTATTAGAAGAAACACACCCATCTAAAGCAACTGATATTTCGCGTGGCATAGATCTCTTCAAGCTCGTCTCAGAACGTGAATCAATGTCTTCAGATGGTAAGGAACTACCAACATGTGACAGCTGAGCACCATCATTTACATCACCTTCTGTCTCCTCAACAACAGAACACGGAGAACTTTCTCCAACAATTAGAGGAGTGGAGTGCAGATTTTCATCAGGTTGAGGAAATGGCAGTCTATCTTCAGATCCTGATTCCTCATCAAACACGATATCAATGCCTTGAAGATCATCATCAAAATCAGCCTTTAACTGCTGTGACTTCTCAAGTTTACCATCATCATTTTGATTCTCAAGCGTTGTTTGCTTGACTAGCATCGTCTCTCCAACAGTAACAAAAGCCAGACTTTGACGCTCCCTTTGCCTAGCTATAAATTCATCTACATGAATTGATGGAGGCCTCCCACTTGATCCACCACGCTGGGAAGAACCCACATGAGAACTATTTAAGACATCAATATTTCTCTCTCTAGCAACATAATCATCCACATGCATGGAGGGCGGTCTGCTTGTATTGGGCTTGCGTTGTCGAAATGTATCCCTTCGACTAAGGCTAGATGGAATGATGGATGAGCTAACCGCCCGAGAAAATGCATTTGAGCCAGTAACCTCAGGCGCGAAACCATCACGAGAGCGCTTAGCTGACACTTCAGTTGACACTAATTTCCTCTTTCCAGCAGATGTTGCACCAAGTATACGGTCTGATGAAGAATCAGGGCATTCCCACATGAATTTTTCTGCAAGACATCCTGAGGCAAATGATTGATTCCCACTATCATTGTTCCCCTTGAAAATCGAATTATGAGAAAATGCAGCCTCATTGTCATAAGCAATCATGTCTGGCAATGAAATCACCATGTCTTTTTTATTCGTAGACAATTTCACATAACCTTCACTCGGAATATCCTCCATTTTAACATGCGAAACTAAGGGAATCTCTAACAACAGCAACATTGACTTCACTATCTCCCTAACCTGTAGGAAAAGTAAGTTTGTTTGATTGATTCAAAAATACTGTATCTGGGACTGTATTAAATTTGAAAAGTAATTGCTTAAATACCTTATGCAAATCCAACTTCATAGACGAAAATGTAAAATTTTCATTGCTAATTGTCTGCTCAAACAAAATTATCAGCTTAAGTATATCTTGTGACTTTTCAACAGAAGGCATTGCAGCACCATGCAAAGCGTCAGGGAGACCAAAGAAACACTTCAATATTGAAACACCCGCAAAACTATCAAGAAAAATAAAATATTAATGATTAAAAAAAAGAAAATGAAGTGAATTATTTGAAACAAACACAATACAGCTAAATGCCACTCGATGTCCCTATTACAGTCTAAAATTTTACTTCGATGAGCCATCATTTTCTTCAAGCATGACATAGATAAATTGGAAAGGTAATAGCAAATCATTTTGTAGTTTAATTTGCGAAGGGGCCGTGAAGTGTCCGACATTCAGTTAGAATTATAAGTAAAAGATCATTTATCGCCTTTCCAGGAATAATATCAACAATGATATATTTTACACCAACGATATATTTTATGTCAAAAAATATATTTTAGAGAGCTTTTAGTTCCATTATTTCTCTCAAATAAAAACCAAGAATTTTGGAATTAAAAAATGCAATGTCACCTATCAGAAATAAATCTTGAAAATAGCTCAGTCAAGATAAATACTAAAAGAAAGACAAATTAATGTATCTTCTCAGCAATTGTGGGTGCCAATCAGTTTGACCGGTAGGAGTCTTAAAAGTTGTTTCCAAGGTATTGGGTTCTATCCCCGCTTCTGACTTTCGAGTGGGGAAAAATTCTCAGGAAGTTCATATAATACATTTCAACCAAGATAAAATGGAACTCGAATATGAAATTTCATGCATGTTTAATGATAGAAGATACTTTTAAGTTCACCAACAACATTCAAACTTATCACACTACTCCATGTTCACAAACATGCTTCTCATTTGATAGTTTATGATGCCTTCAATATGACAAGGAAAGCCCCTTCTCAAAAGAAAACAGCAAGTAAACTTATGCCCCATGACACTAACAGCTCTGCTCAAATCTCATTTGATAGTTTATGATGCCTTCAATATGACAAAGAAAGCCCTTTCTCAAAAGAAAACAGCAAGTAAACTTATGCCCCGTGACACTAACAGCTCTGCTCAAATGGCACTAGCAAAACATAAGCTGAAAGATCGTAGGCGTAAAGATATGCAAACAATTAGTGGTTGTAAACGCATAAATTCTGATATATTTTCCAATGCATGATACACTATTTTTCAATAATTATAATTTCCAGAAACAGGAAGCGTTAAGCCCCACAAGTTCAAGTAAAACCTATGAAGCATCAATACAAATATGGGAATACTGACACAATATGTGATCACAAGCACCATATCCACCTATTATTGAAAATACAAGAAATGGATACCGATTAGATGTTTCATTATAATATTGTATCTTCAACATAAAAATAATATATATAATAATTACGCATTAAATAAATATAAAATAAATTCATATAATAAAAGTTTATTTTAATTGCTCAAAATATAAAAAAGAGAAATTTACATATATACCACACAATTTATATTTAGATTTGAATGCTATGGATGTAAAAATGAAAGTTAGATGTTAGATATGTAAATACAAAAGTATAGGTGTCAGATATGTAAATACATCGGAATTGTGTGGTATATATTTAAATTTTCCAATAAAAAAATATATTTAAATTTATAATATACCTTAAAGTCAATTAAGGAAAAAAATTCTCATAACATTATAGATTATTAACATGAAGTTTAGAATATTAATTCTTTTATAAGAAATAAACAATAATATTATAAAATATATATTAAAAATAGAATATAATGAAAAAAACATGTTAGCTATTATTATTTAAGTAGTTTCTCTGAACATAAATAGAAGAAGCGTCAGCTTAAAAAATTTCTATAATATATTTTTAAAGTTAAAATATAAAATATGTTATTCAAGTCATGTGTGTCAAGCAAGCATATCTATTATTTTTTTTCTTTTAATTAGACATAGATAATGTGTCTAACATGCGTAAGCAATTGCATGTGTTATATATGTGTATGGCATGACACTTCAGCAATATGAAGTGTCGGTGCATCATTGTGTAAAACAAATAATTTGTGAGAATATGAACATTACCATTAGCCTAATCCCGACTAGTTTTTATTCAAAGAAATTATTGAATAAGGCACTAAATTCATTGAAAAGGGAACATTTGATGTCATTAGATGATTTATCCCTATTAAATTCAAATGGTATTTCAAATTGATTAGGCAACAACATTCTCATAATCAAGCCAATGATAAATGGCGCCAATGAGTCTCTTTAGTGTCTCCTACAATAAGTACTTAAGTATGGAGGGTTGGCCATCTTATTTATAATGGTAATCCTAAAGTATTTGATTGATCAAGTAATTGGGTGTAATAGCTTATCAGCTAGAAAACTTTTCAGCATATTTTGGTGGCTATTTTGTTATGTATTAGAAATGAAGTAAGAAAATTAGGGGTTTCTAGTTTTTAGATGTATTGTTAAAAGTAGAACACAAACCAAGTAGTTTTTAAGAGAAACCTAACTACGCCCAATAGGCCCTTTGGTGCATTCCCCGATTGCACCTAAATCGGGTGAATTCAAAATACACGAACTCAATAACTCCCTAGACACCCACGCTCTACTCCGCCAACCTAGCCTTAGTTGCCCTTGGATGTATCACCCGAAGATCTATCAACCTAGCCTCAATTGCCTTAGGCTCCACTAATGTTGCCTTTATTTCCCACGACTCTGTCAAGCAAGTTTCTGAAAACAAGATCGATCACTGAATCGGAAAAATAAGATGTTCAGCGTTTAAAGATTCAACCGGGGGTGAACTAGTTGCCCTTGGATGTATCACCCGAAGATCTATCAACCTAGCCTCAATTGCCTTAGGCTCCACTAATGTTGCCTTTATTTCCCACGACTATGTCAAGCAAGTTTCTGAAAACAAGATCGCTCACTGAAGCAGAAAAATAAGATGTTCAGGGTTTAAAGGTTCAACCGGGGGTGAATTACAAATAATATTTTTAATAATTTTGAATTTAAATTTTGATATAAAACTCATCAAAATACAATCATTTATGTATTATAAATAGATGACTAGATAATTATATATATTAAATATATTTTAAAAATAAAAAATATATATATGATATAGATATATAATTATTAAAATAATTTATTGTGAGAATAAAAATTATATTAATAATATATTTTATAAAATTTAATAAAAATAAAGAGTTTACAATGAAAAACATTTAAAAGTTTAAATTTTATAATAATAATCCTACATTATGCAACCCATTTAATATTAAGGTTTAGAAAACCAGATTGAAGAGGTCAGTTCGACCGATTTAACCGTGAACCGGCCTGAGGTCCGATTTCGGTTGGCCTAAAAAACATTCCCCACATTGAACCAAATTGAACGGGCGGTCTAACCCTTGAACTTGAGAACCAATTACTGTTGAAGGAATTGTCTGCTCTTATAATGTGCATGTTGAACAATGAAAATCCTAATCCTATGATCTCGGTCCCAATCTCGTCCAAGCTTGCAATCACACTACACCTTCACTCCAAATTCACTTGCAAGCAATGTTTGGTTCGCCGCCCGCTCACCAGCATCTAACCCGCAGCCTAGAGGTACGTCGGTTGTTTTAGCTTCTTCCCAATCTTTGTCAGTTGTTGACTTTCCTGAGTTCGCAGACTTTGCCTTCCCTTTGTCATGGGTTCACCTCCCGCTCACCGACAACTCACATGCAGCCCATAGGTACGCGAGCATCTCTACTTCTTCCCAATCTTTATCATTTGTTAACTTTCCCAAGCTCGTACACTTTGCCTTTCCTTGTCGTTGGTTCAACGCACCCTCACCGACGTCACACTAGTTTGTCGGCATCTCACCCACAACCCACAAGTACTTCGAGCAACTCTACTTATGAATCTGTCATTTGTAACTTTAGTTTGATTAGTTTGAATGTGTGCTTAATAATGGACGGTTTGTATGTTTAACAGTTTAAGTTTAACATAGTGATGCATAAATCATTTTTCATAACTAATTCTTGCCATGTACAAAGATTTAGTTAATTTTTTTATAGAATCCAAGAACTTAAACTCATCATTACTGTTCTTATGAAGATTTCTGTATAAAATGGATAGCTTACCATCGTTTGATGAGTTTTTTCAAAAAACATTTTACAAATGTCATATTTTATCAAGTATAGTTTAATTTGATTGCAATTAGAACCATATGAAAGGTTAATTCAAAAAATAGCACATAACAATGAGCAATTTAGCATTGCTAAATTGTGAAGGAGATAGAAATAAGATTACTAGAGAAAGAAAGGTCAGTTCCTAGAATCTTAAAGTCCTGAACTCTTTTTTTTTTGGATTTTTTTCTGCATCCTCTTATTTTGCCACACCTAACACTGTATAGTTGGTGTTGTGAGATATGTAGGATATGGGTTTTCTAAGAGTAGTGAGATCCATAAGATCGAGATAATATATACACATTACACAATCTATTAAATGCTAGATTATACCATTATGAAATGTAAGCTATTTAACATAAGAACTCTATCACATAAAGTATATGATAAAGTTTTCTTTTAAGGTTATGTTTATGGTTAAGTAATCAAGAATGTTTGATCATTGTTAATTATGACTTCTAGGCTAAATATATGTATCATATTTAGAGTAATTTTTTTTTTTAATATGAGATCTTGTGAATTTCTCTCTTTGTTATTCCTAGAATGGAGCCATCTGAAAGTCCATCTTTTATTTCTTTCTTTCATGCCTTTGAAAAGTCTAATCTGCCATTGAATTATCTTATTAAAATTTAAACATATGATGGGAAGAAACAATTTAAATGTTTACATTGTGGATTGATATATAATGGTGAAGTCATAAATAGGATAAAACAACATCTTGTTGGGGCTAAGGAAAGTATTGGGTCATGTAAGAAAGTTTCATTTGATATTCATCATCAGATGTTAAAAATTTTGAAAATGATATAAAAAACAAGAGGCACAAGAGGAGAAAGACAATCTTCACTCATATGGTAAACATATTATTAATGAAGAGAGATTTTTCTCATTGTAAATCACAAAATTCAAATGTTCATGATAAAGGATTAGACAAAGGGAAAAAAATGGATGAGTTTGGCAATGATTTT